TGGAGCATTTCATCTGTACATCATGACCTTTAGACAATCGTTAAGATACAGTTCCCACGTCTCTCGAGACGGCGAGACGAGCCATGTTGAGTATCAAACAGAAACAGAGCAAGCAAATATAACGAACACGCCACGTAGGTGTTTCCATGTCAAGCTCTCGCAATATCAGCTACTGTATCTGGGTGATCATACGAACATGAATACCATCTACCATATCAAAGCCCGTGTCACAACGAAGAGTACCCAGCGGAGAAAGATGATACGACACGCAAACATATGCCTCCCTCTCCCCCTCACATCAAAAGCCCATATACCGCAAACGGAACAAGACCCGAGTAACACGTTACACGAACCCCATCTTCGAAACGAGATATCATGCAACACCGCCCCAGCATCCATTCCTTCTAGATTGCAACGCGCCTTATTTTCAATACAGAGACACTTATCTTTCTCTCTCTACTGTCAACATGTGGCGTACATCGCCCACGCCAGGCTCTGCACTGCATGGATCACCACCAACTTCCCACTTCGCGTTCGAGAAACACGCCAGCAAGTTCGTCTCAACGTGACTACTGCACGAAACATACGCCGCCCTGGACCCAACACTCCGGCCAGCCAGGCATATGTACGTACATATGCAAAACCCACGCTGCAAGTTCTCATGGCGCAACAAACCGCGTCGAATCGAATCGAATCACCTAACCTCGCCGTCCACGCGCTTCAGCCCCAAGAGCCAGGAGCCGGGGGCCAGGGCAATGTGTACATACATGTATGTACGTGAGAACCTCGCCGTCCACACACATCCACACATCCATCTACCCGCAACGCAGCTCCGACCAATCGCGCCAACTCCCGCTCTCGTATCCAAAATGCAGGTGCAGTGGGCGAAACGAAGACCGTGTATGCGGCCAGAGAAGGCGGGCAAGTGTCAAGCCCCCAACTTACGCCGGACGGACTTGATCGTGTGGGCAGGCTGAGAAGCAGATGCGCGATCGAGATCGCGGGTGAGGGAGGCGCCACGAATGCACAGCAGGTTTTGAGGTTCACGAAGGGAAGAAGGCAGATGGGATCTAGATGCGAGGACGCGAGTTGGTGGGAGGTGTGGTGGGTGAATGAGGCGCTGGGGGTGTATGTCAGGTGGATTGATACCATTAGCGACTTATCACGTTTGTGCTATGTTGAGTTTTGTCATGGGCCAGGTCCACGCCCACGCTGTGCATCTCGCGTTCGTTGGAATATACGACGACGACGTAGGCGTGGGGCGTGTGCATGGTGAAATGTCCTCATGCTACCTTACTTCCTTTCTTCCTTGAGACGAGACGAAACGGAGAAGTTCCATCACGCCACGCCACGCAGCTCGAAAGCAGGTTGGCGAGGACGGCTAAAGTGACAGACGGCGACGTTATTCGCTGAAAGATCCCGGTCGGCGGCCCGGCGTCGTAACGTTGACCAGTAGATCTGTGGCACAGCTTCCCATCAACGCATATGCATCTCGGCTGCATCATTGATTCGCTGCCTGTCGCACACGTCGCGGATACAATTGGAAGGGCAGAATCGGGCGTTAGGCCATGAGGGGTATATTATGCGGTCGCTAAAGGGTATACAGATTGTTGGATATTGGAAATGTGTGTTGATGTGCGGCAAATGCCGTCGGACGCGCACCAACCTTCTAGAAATGCGAAGACGAGAGCAGTGGAACGAGGGGTTGCGGATGCATCACGCTCCGAAACCTAGGCCATGGACAGTCTCATCGTCTCCAAGTGCAAGCCGCACTTCGTCTTCACCAACGCCAAGCCGGACACGGCCTACTCGCTCGCCATGTCGGGCCTCTACGCCTATAATGCCTGCTTCTGCGAGCTCGGTGGCTGCGAGTGCGAGGCCGAGTGCTCTTGCTGCCTTGTTGTTCGTTTCCTTCAAGCCAAGATTAGTAGCAACGTCTCTATGCTTCGACGGCGTAGAAGGCTGCATTGCTGCGCCGTTCATCATTTCGCTTCTGTCGTCCTTCTCAGGGGCGAGAATGTAATCGTGCACAGGCAGTAACTGACTCATGAGCCCCAACCGTTTGGCTTCATCGACAACGTCTCCAAGGATCGCTTCGCCAATGCCCGACCTGCGGATCCTTGCCAAGAGGGCCGCAAGGAACACCTTGGACGCCAACGGTAGAGCCCGCAGCGCCTGTTGCAGGGGGCTACTCGTAGCCTCGTTGATTGCCTGTTTGATCGTCGCCATAGTAACTATACCTTTCCGCCCCGCCCGATCTTTGGACCGATGATCCGGATCTCCGGTACCTTTATTTGACCGAGAGTCTTGGAGCTGCTTTGCTTTGTTACCCCGACCGGTCCTACTCGGAGTACCTGGCTGCGCCTCATCGTCCCGGTCCTGCGATATCGTTTCCGCTTCGGCGATTTCCACGGCTCGTCTGCAGATGTCTAACGCGCGTCGCGCATCACCGCTGACAGCTGCTACCTTGCGTGCAGCAAACTGAACGGCGTCAGGGTGCACAATATTGCCAGGTACACCTTCGAGCCGGGACTGGATAATTTGCATCAGTTGGTCATGTGTATAGCCTGGGAAAGTGATGCGCGTTAAACCTAGAAGATGTGTGTTAGCCTCTCGCCAGGAAAATAACGGGCGTACCCGGCGATACAAGTCGCACCGATAACATCAAATTGATACGCAGATCGTTGGGAGACCTCGTCGTCTCCCTCTGATATTGTAGCATATTGAGGAGGGATCGAAACGCCAAACGCGTGGGGCGCGTTCCTGAAGGATCGCTATGCTAGCTGGGACATACCTAGGCGACTGCTGATCTTATTGCTCAACGTTCTCTCTGGCAGATCCATAGTGTTCGCTACGGCGAGGACAATCAACCTGCTGTGCCGCAGGCCAGGCCAGTTGAAAAAGTTGTACATGACAGACTGGTTCTTGGTGACGAGCTGGTCGAGCTCGTCCATGAGGACCACGCAGGGAACCCTGCGCGGGCTGGGAGTGGAGAATTCGCGTTCCAGTAGCTCCAGTGCATGTGACGGACTCACTCGGTCGCCGCGCAGTGCCTGCCAGAGCAGCGAGTATGATTGGTGGGGATCCGTGACCTTCATGCCATTGATCTCAACAAATATGAAATCATCCAACTCTTCGGCTTGGACTGAGGCTTGCAGTTGGGCGACGACCTCTCGCACAGTTGCCGTTTTGCCTGTGCCAGGTGTGCCCGAGATGTAGATGCATGAGCCCGAGCCGTCCGTAATGGCCGCGTCCAAATGACTATACACGGTGGAGAACTCTTCCTCACGACAAGGGAGTGCGGCAGGTACCGAGGAAACATGGAGTTGATTCCGCGCGATCTGGAATGGTGAGTTTAGGGCCGAAGGATCAAGTACACGCGTGCCAAGCGGTGTGAACTCCAATTGCTTCTTGATGACTATCCTCTTGTGCGTTGGAGTAAGGAATTTGCGCGCAGCCGGGCTTTTCCTAGTCGATGTGGGGGTGGTCGCTTCATTAATTTTCCGGCGCTTCCGTGGAGTCTTTGGCAAGTCATCATCGTCCGAGTCAGGGATCACGAACTGGTCCAAGTCGGGCTGCTGATGTTTCTTAGGACGACCGGCAGTTCTCCTAGTGGCCTTTGTCTGAGCCTCCACAAGATCGACCAGCGATCGGATGTCCTTGGCATCGCTGTATACGTCCTCCCACTTGAATTCTGGTGTATATGTGGTCGTGCGCGTGTTGCAGCCTCTCCGGCACACGAAGACCTTGCCATGGTCTTTGGAGGTCTTCTTGACGCCTGCCGGATACAACTCCTGGAAACGTTCCAACGAGTATACCTTGGCAGTGCCGTTGATCGAGGCTAGCGGGTTGTCGTCGAATGCGGCAGATATGTAGAGTTCGTTCTATTCAATGTCAGAGGTATAATTTCGCAAAAGGCCGAGGGACTTACGGGAAGAAAATCGGAACGCTTTTTGCTCTGGTTGCGAATTTCCTTCTCAGAGGAGAACCAGAGGAACTTGGCCATCTTCTCGTCCTCGTCCGGGTCCTCGTGGAAGTCGCAGATGATGCCGACCCATGCCTGGTTGCCCTCTGCCTTGAGCAGCACGGCATCTCCCACTTTGCACTTGAAGCTGCCCATGCGCGCACCGACTATGCGCTTTGCTAGCGGTGTGGGCGCAGCCTTTCTCTTTCTTGGCGAGGCAGTCTGCTCAGGCTGCGCATCGTCGATGCCATTGTTGTCGTAGATCCATTCCCAGGGGTGGTCTTCGTAGCCAAGCTCGTCGTCGGAGTCTTCGCGGAATACTGCGCCGCCCGCGAGATACTGTCGCGCCTTGTCTACACGGGAGCGCTTGATGGGAGCCATGAAAGGGGGTGGTTGTGGTCGCAATTGGGTTTTTGTCGCTGACGTTGGCCACGCGGGAGTGGAAGGCACGACGCGTCGCGACAGGCTTGGCGGAGCGCGCGCGGAAAGAGCTATGATCTCACCGCTCGGGTCACTTTCTTCGCGCAGTCACGACATGCGACGCATCACCACTGCACACTTCACGCTCATGTCGCATTAATCGCACCATCTCACAGTCATTTGCATGTCAAAATATGGTAGAGTGGATAAGGATATTCATTGCTGTATGATCCAACCACAGGCTCGCACTGGCACTGGGGCTACGTATCATGGCGAGCTTCGTCCCAGTCATAATAGAACAGTCTCTGTGAAGAGATGGGAAACGCCAAACTCCAAATCTCCGTGGTCAAGCGAGGGACCTTTGCTAACACGACCAATCGCTGAAATGCAAAACAAGAAAACTATAAACACAGAAGAAAGAGACTGCGTCTCAAGAGAAGAGAAATCAAGGCCCGCGCACCACCGCTACCCGCTCACATCGAGTAGAGAAGCGGCAGCGGAGGTGTGCGGGGCATGGAGTTGGGCGTCGTCGGGTAGTCGAAAGACAGTGTCTTCTACCGACGGCTGTCAGCAGTGGCTCGTCGAGGCAGCGGCGGCGAGTGCAAGAGTTGGACGTTCATGCGTAGTAGGGCTGGCGAGTGGGGAGCCTTACTGAGTCTGCGTACGAATGTGGTGGTTGAATCTCGTTTCCGCAAATGGCCGCGTAGCCGACGCCGAAAGGGCTCATCTCTTCGTCGCCGTAGTACTCGTTCTTCATGCTGGGCACCAGGCTAGGCAGGCCAGTGGAGTAGGCGGACGAGTGGGGTGGCGGCAGGTAGGTGTAGCTTGGCATCTCCGGTGTGAGGGTGGTCGGTATTGTGTGGTAGGGCGAGGTGGAGTACGGCATTGAGTAGGCGACTGCATCTGGCGCTGGGTAGGCCGACGAATACGACGCTACGGAGAAGGGAGGTGGGCTGGTGGAAAGCTGGCGCGTGTACTGATGCGAGAACATGCCCCGATCCTCGGCAGGCGGGGTGGTGTACGAGGATTCCGAAGACGACGGAGAGGGAAACTCCTGGCGCGGGGATCGCTGTGGTGGCTGCAGCTCGGCAGGCTTCTGCTCAGGTGAAGCTGAGCTCGAGGCAGCACGACGCTCCTGCAACCGGATTAGTATGGCGTTCCGAGCAGTACGAGGGTTGGTTGCACAAGAACTTACAAGGTCTTCGAGCCTCTTCTTGAGCTTCTTGCGGTAGTTGCGCTGGGCAATGCGGTTCTGTATCCGCCTGCGCTCAGCAAGATCGGAGATCTTGGTCCAGTCCTCGTTGGGGTTTGCCGACGCAGAGAAGGCTGAGGAGGTGCCCGAGTATCTGGTGGTAGTGGGCGCCGGCTGGGCATATGGGTAGGCAGCGTGTCGGTGCATGGTGATGTTGGATGTGGGGAGCATTTGCAGGTGAAGGAATGAGGAGGTTGTTATCAGTGGGATGAGAGAGGCTCAGTCTGGCAGTCGGGGATGACAGTATATTTATCTCGCCGTCCATGTTGCGTCCGCAGTCGTTCTTGTGGAGCACAGACTGGCTAGTGTTGGTCCCCAGCTTCAGGCCTCTCGCATGCACCCTGGGCTACGCGATGGCCGCTTGAGCATTTCTCAATTTGGTACGATTTGGAGCAACCCTGGCCGGTGTACTTTGACCGACTGCGGTCTTGTAAATTTAGTATGGACGCTAGCGCAGCATGGCAGCGGGCCAGTGAGGGACGGGCAGACAGGCAGCTGAGGGCACGGAAGCGTCGGGCGCGAGTGTATTGAAACCAAAGCTCCCTAGCGGAGAGCGGTGTCGTCGTCCCATGTCGTCGCGGCGGTTCCCTGTCGCGTCCCCACCAACCCTGCTACCCTGGCTCCTGGCGCAGTGCACATCACAGACAGCCCTATGACCCTGGGGCCTGTCCAAGAAGTCGCGGTCGGGGCGTCACTGAACCTCGCGGCGCCGGGTCTGTCATTATCTCCGTCCCTGCGTGCGGCGTGCGTATGCCCTCCCGCATGTGTCGACGTGTTGCGAGCGTCGCAGAGTCACGCCTCGGCTCTCGTCCGAGCCTGCGAGCTGCGAGGGTGAATGGGGCGTCCAGCCTCCACAGCGCCGCCCGCACATGGGGGCCAAAAGGCGATGAACGCAAACGTCTTGCTGTGGGCTCGCTGCTGTCTGCTGCGTGGGTAAATTGCGCCTTGACCGGCTCACACCAGATCATCACACTCGTCCAGCCCCCGCCGCCATTGGCCAACGCCCGCGGCCTCGTCGTGCATGCGCAACCTCTCGACGGCATGCCACACCGCGACACCTCGACGTCGCCGTTCACTAGCCTTCCGACCCCTCCGACTGCTGTCCTGCTGCTCCCGACCTCAACTCCGTCCCTCCGCCATTCCGCGTGGGAATCAGGAAGCCTGCTGAATGGAGACCATATCCTGCATCCAGCTACCGTCGCTGTATTTAGTCTGCTTTGTCACGCCGTGCCTAAGTAAAGTACGCTGCCGCAACAGCGCCACCACTCAAAGAGCCCCAAAGGCCCCTTCAAACGAGCGTCGCATTCCACCAGCCCTACGCACTGTCCCATGTTCTTCCGCAGCCGCATCAGCACCTTACTGCAGTGTCGGTGAGGTCTGAGCCAAAAGGCGCATAGCGGCAGTCAGCCCAAAGCTTAGCCATGCCATGTTTCCACCAACGACACTGGAGAAGCCAATCATCATGGGAAATGTGCATCTAGAAACATTGCCAGACACGCCCTGAACCCATTTGCTGTTGGCAGATTGCTCTGCTAGTGTCTTGTTGCCGTTGTTACAACGGCACGCCCTACGCCTGGCGGTCGAGCCTTGTCGGCTTCACGCCTTCTGTAGCTGCGCCTTCACTGAGCCGCCTATGTGACACGTCCCAGAATATCTTCGATCAGGTAAGGTACAGTTTCAAAGCGCTTCTTCTTGACTCTCGCCCTGATGTCGTTCCTGAAATTTTGACAAATGTTTGGTACTACCTCCTGCTTCTACTCGACATCTGCTGCCACTCTCTCATCAACCACTGCTATATATGGCCTGGGCGAGCCTACTGCAGAGTTTATCTCGTCCAACTGTGCGTGGCGGCTGTAAAGAAACCACCGGTCGTTTCAAAGCTTGGTGGCGCGCTAGCTGCTCAGATCTAAAGGTACACCGTCCCGTTGGTCCTAGAGCCTGCAGTTGGTAGATAGCGACTATCCTCAGCTTGCCCTGGAATTAGTCCGCACACGCGATATGGTTGGTGTTATCACTGGTACTACCATTGCATGAAGCATCGAGATTGCGGGGGCCGATTAACGGGGATAGGAGGAGCGAACCGTGTGTACGTTGGTGATCTAGGACTGAGACACATACGCGTTGGCACGCTCGCGCTACCCATCAAAGAGGGAAAAGGGCAGATCGCTATGCCACGTGTGTCGAGACCTCGACCTCAGCTATCGACTATCGCAACTCAGCTGCTCTCCAGGGCTATTCGCTTCGATGTCGGGTTTCCATATGAGTGGGGCATCAAGTCTGTCTAGACGTCTGTGGATCTCTTCGCCTCAGACATCGCAGCTCATGTCCCCTCGCTTGAGAGACATTCCCCACTTCGCTGTCTGTATTCAACTACAACGCTCAATTAACAGCGTCCAGATAATGGCAAGGGGTATGCTTGTCGACAATGCCACACGAACTGTAACTGTGTAACGTGGCGTGGGAGACAATTGCATTGTCCACCCTGCTCTCTCATTGGAGATGTCTCAATGAGCTAGATGATACCTTGTCGACTTTGCGGCGCAAGTTGGTGGGATATGCAGACGGTACCTTTTACCCCGACCCCGCGTCAGCAATTCAAACCCAGAACGCAGGCTAACGGGGCCGTTGGCTGCTGCAGTTGTCCACCTACGGCAACACCTGGGCTAGACAAGCCTCTGCGGCAGGAATCAGAGTCCCACTGCCGTGGCACCAGGAGACTCTTCTTTCCTATAGGCCCTTCTTGATGTCCATCAATGTCCCGACAACTCTTATTCTTTGACCCGTTGATTCATGTAGGAAATACACATGGCCAAGAGGAAGGCTATGAGCAGCTGAGGCGTTGTATTGCGGTATCAGGCATAGTGGCTCGTCTGCTTCGGAATGTCTCCTTGCCCAGCATGGCTGTGTTACGCCTGGTTGGCGGAGATCAACGAAGACGAATCAGTGTTTCGCAGTCCAGCGAGCGTCAAAGAAGCTAGCCAGGTGTGCATTACGCGACATCTTCTTTCGAACTCATCTACCGAGTTGGCCTGTCGCTGTAGCGTAGAGTCAAATGTTTCACACCGTTTGGAGCACTGCCATGTTGCGGTGACAGAGAGCTCACCGCAGAGATGCTGCCAACACCCAAATTGCGCGGTGCATCGCCAAGTTCGTGATCGGTCCGTGGTGGCTGAAGAGTATATACCCTATGCGGATGCTGAAGTCGTGTAAAAGCGACACAGAAGGTGAGGTTGTTCCGACGGTGAGTCTGTAAGGCGGGAGGACCCATATGTTTCCCAGAGCGGCTAGCGGCAGCTGGGGGTCCCTGCCACCGGTTCTCGTCGCGTCCTCTGAGTGGCTGGACGAGTAGCAGCACGAATCAACTTCCCCTCCAGGGCACTGGGCGACCGTTCCTTCGGGCGTTCCGTGCAAATCTCACCGCTGTACGCGATACATGCTGGGGAGAGGGACGCCGCGAAAGGTCATGTGATCTCGACCAACCCTTATCACCGGGTTCACTATCAACATGCTTTGAATCCTTGGTACATTACCGTCATCGGCCGGATGTATGCCCAAGAGGGGCATCGAGTTAGTCGTGCTACGGCGACCGCGAGATCGCCTACATGAGCACAATATCCCATACCAAAACACACTAACCAGTCAATCGCAGTACACGCGTATCGTTCTATTCTTCCACCTTCGCATCGTCTAGTAACGCTGTCCGAGAGGCAGCCGCCGTGCTACTGCCGTTCCTTCCATATTTATCGTCAAAAACAAATGCAGCTTTAGAAGCGACTAACGCGCTAATTCATCGCAAGAGGGGCACGGCCTATATTTAGCGGCCGCTGTGCCAAGTCGAGCCAGCTTTCTGATGACAGTAACTCTACCACCCTCCTTCGCAGCCCTACAGCCCTACGATGCACACAAGTCAGCACCCGAAACACCATCATTGGTCCAGCAACAATGCGACACAGGTACCCCTCCTCGTGTCCCCACTGTCATTCATTTGGTCGTGCGCTGTAGCACCCGAGCGAAGACCTGTGATAACTGCCGCTCATATACTACACCGAAACTTAGTGAGGGGTTTTCTGTATACATCCGTGTATGGGACCACCTCGTACAGTATTAAGCTCACCGGTTGCAGGGCGTAACCGATAGCAGGGAACGACCAGTGTGGTGGGAAAGCCTGCCGCCGCTCTTTCCACATGTCGCTGAATTCACTGAACATCATTTCCATATATCCCCACGGACCAGAACACGGATACCGCATTTGTCGCGTATTGCGTAGAATCGAGCGTGTTCGCTTAGAGGGTTCATGTATACCCAAGCGCCCGTTATTATCCAGCGCCCCTTCACCGATGACGATTGGTCGCCTTGCACACGGACGGTGTCGCCAGCGCGGTGCCTCCGCATGGGGCGTCAGACCTCGTGGCAGACTGGCAATAGAAGGTCTCGGCCTTTGCACTTTTGTAAAGCAACGTGTGCAATCACAACCCGCGCTCGCTTCCGTCATCATGCAGCTCAAGGCAGACAGATTTCCCACGCCCAGAGAGTGGAGGGTCGCTATCAGCCGCAGCATGCAGTCTCAGGTTGGTGGTCGAAACGAACAGTCATTCGGAGACTAGTGTCGTCTCGACACACTTCGACTCATTTTTACAACAGTAGCGCTTCCAGCGCCAGAAAGCCGCGAAGCGACGCTTGATGGCGTTCCTGTGCCAAGAAGGAGACTTGCCTTTCCTGACCGTTCAGCCGTTCTCGCGGGAACGGTAAGATCCCTGAAAGAATCCTTCGACGTCCCTGTTCAGGCCCGTATTGCGAGTCGATCTTCGAAGCGCTCGGGCGTAACTGCTGTGCCGCAGGCAAAATCAAACCAAATATCAAGAGCAAGATTAGCACAATGCGCACGACTCATTATATTTCTGGCTCGAACGCACATGTTACATTATCCAGCTCACAATTCTTGGAAGAGCGACTTTTTCACTACATGCGTCTCCTGAGCAGATGCAAGCTCGAACATGTCGACGAATTACACTGCTCGCTGCGAGGTGGCTTGCGTCTGCGGTGGAAACATTTCCATTTCGAGCGAGTATGCCGTGGTGTAAACTTGCCCATAAGCCGTCCTATCATGACCACACGGACATCCGCTTCTCGAACGGCCTGCAAGTACACCATCATCGGACTTTGGCAATGCT